GTAATTCTCAATACTCCCTTGAGAGCTGTAACCATTTTTATTCTAGGATCCTGAGTTATTATTATGTTGAGTAGTAACATATCATTATGTTAAGTAGTTAGACCAAACTGAGTGAGACAGCAACAGGCCACAGGTTAGATATCTAATCATGAAAAAAAGTTGTAGGAATTACCATTTACTCCCGTTAAACATAAGAAAGTAAGGAAAATAAAGCTTCAGATGGGCAAAATCTGACCACTGAGGCCTATATAGTTACCTTAATACACAACTTTTGGCCTGGTTAGCAATGGTAATGCCATATTTAGTGGCCTTACAGCTAGCTATTCCCCCCTCTCCTTTCGTCATCTGCAAATCCCAGGTTATTACTCACAAATCCAGCAAGGATGCTGCAAACCCTCCTCTGACTCAAGAGTGCAGCAATTAAACTGAGTCAGCCAATCTCCTTGCTTATTAAACTGTCTCTTAGAATTGTTTTCAGTCTTCCTATGTGTTTTAATATGCAGTACATATATTTTATTCCCACTGTCTTTGTGAGCGTGTATAATAAATCCCTGGTTTCCTTCATTTCCCATCATATGCTTTCTGTCCCCCTTTCTCCAGCCATACCTCCAGTATTTTATTCCATTATGAACATGGTCAGTGTCCTTAAAGAGATGTAGTGGGTCCTGCTTAGATAGCTTGCATCTTTGAATGATATCTATGATAGCCTGTACTCCTGCTATTTGGGGTAATCCTTTTTTTAGTTTCCCCACTAGTTGCTGTCCTATTCCATTAATAGCCGTATAGAGGTCTATTTTTCCTTGCTCATATCCTTGCATCAGTGAAGCATACCTTTGGTTTATTACTGGGTTCCTTAAAAAGGACACCCATGTCCATTAATAATAATGGATAACATCTAAGTAAAGGCTGGTGTAGCACAAGCTCTAAGCAGTTTACCTATTTCATTTCCATTTGATTTGAAGTTTGAAGCCATTTCTGGAAGTGTTACATTGCAGTCCACAGCTGGGCTTTCTTCCATGACCCAAAACCTGCAGCTCGTGGTCTCGCATCCCCTGGCATCAATCTGTTATTGTAACAGCAGCAGCAGCTTGCTCTGCTGCACCTCCCCACCGCAGCATGGCAGTCCTAATGTGTTGTGTATGCTGTTCCCTGCTCCTCTTTCCTTTCCCTTTCATACATATCATCCCAATAATCATCTTCCTATGACAGCTCCCAATCTAATTCTCCATCATTGCAGCTACAGCATCTAATTTTAATTTCCTCATCCTAATTTGCTTTTGTGAGCCTCTAATTTTAGCTTCCCATCCCCTTGGAGGTCCCCCTTGCTCTAGGGTGAACGTTGCAGCAAACAATGATCCCTCTACTGGCTTCTGCAGTGTGGTGGGTTTTTTTCTTCCTCTCCTTTGAGTTCACCTGAATCTAATTCCAGCTGCATCTCCTTAGTATGTTTCTAAGCCACTAGATGGTAGTCTTCTAAAAACAAATTTGTTTTACATTTCTTAGGTTTCCTTTAAAACAGGGAGTAGATAGAACAATGGAGCTAGATGCTTCTGGGAGGCGCACAGTGATAGAGCAAGGAGCATCAGACACAAACTGCATGAGAGAAAATTCCAATTAAATATAAGAAAAAAAAAAACCCTGTGGGGGTGGCCAAACACTGGAACAGGGAATTGGCATCCTTGCAGATGCTGGAAATTCAGTTGAATGCAACCGTGAGCAACCTGCTCCACTGGGCCCTGCTTTGAGCAGGAGGTTGGACCAGAGACCTCCAGAAGTCCCTTTCCAGCTACGTCCTTCTGTGACTCACTGGACGAGGTGAGCTGGAAACGGAGGTGAGAATAAAGCGTGCTAAGAGAAATAAAGAGGATCCAAAGGGAGAAGAGGGGACAACCTGACATTTCTTACAAAAACACATCTAACGAAAGGCTTAGGGACCCAGAGGAAAATGAAAGTACTTTGGCAGAGTGACAAAACAGCACTTTCTGGCTTGACCTCGGAGCTGCCTCACTGCTATGGACTTGCCTGGTGATCTGGGCTCTTGGCTGACCCCAGTCCCTGTCAGTGGGGCTGTGCCCTGTCAGCGAGGCCGTTGCCCTGCTGTCGGGGCAGCAGCTCCTGCTGCTCCCCAGCCCTTCATCCAGAAGGGTTAGGGAATTGGAGGCATGATGCTTTTTCAGTCAAACCCTCCACCTGCTGCTGCTGCGCTGCATGAAGGAATCTCGCACCTCTGCCAGCCTGCCTTTGCATTTCTATTCCAGGCTGTGAAATGGGAACAGGCATGAGGGCAGCACAGAAATGCAGAAGTCACAGGAGGAGCTTCAGTTCCCAGCTAGGCTGAGAAACCCTCAGCTTTAAAGGGAGGCAGGCAGGCCCAGGAAGGCAAGCTCAGGGTGGTGGGGGAGGCGAGAGGGAAACCGCAGCACCTGTGAGCGTACGCTCCCAAAGCAGCTGTTTCCCCCCAGCACAGCATGTTTCCTGTGGGATTACTGCTGGGTCTCCTTTAGCTATTAAGTCATCCAGCCAGGTGTTTTTATCCTGGCCCCTCAGGCAAAGAAAATTTCTGGAGAGGAAGGCTGAGCCCTTCCCCACGCAGCCACCGCATACAGTGTTTATCCTGGTCCAGGTCCCCTGCAGCAACCCCGGGAGCTGGCAAGGAGGCCCCCAGCATGGCGAGCTGAGTCAAGCGGTGCCAGGAGGCCGACCCCCAGAGGAAGAAGGAAGGGTGGGCCGGATGCGGAGAGTCATTTCAAAACTGAATCGCTGCCTGTATGGGGAACTGGGACTTTGAGCAGCCCCCTGGCTTGGTCGGTGCTGGAGCGCTGCAGGGTGAGTGCATAGCCGCACGGCTGCCCAGCATCCAGGGCCGGCACGGCAAGGCCAGGGGTGCAGACCTTGGGCCCTGTGCTGCCCCCCAGGCCGTGCTCCTCCCCAGGGCTGGGGGCTGTGCGGGACAGGGAGCTGGCCTGGTGGGTCCCTGAGGGCCCAGCCGTCCCCACGGCCAGGCGGGCTGCAGGGCTGGGGGCTCCTAGAGAGCCACGACTCTGCCTCGTCTGGTTAGAAACCCCCCCGGCTAACCATTAAGGCCGCAGTTTTTCTGGCGCTTCCCTCTGTCCTTCCCGTGTTGGGCAGGAAGGTGCTGGGCAAGAAAACCTGCTAACCATGCTAACCTTGTGGCAAAGACTGGAAGACCCTTGAGGTGACAGAGGATCCCACCCCC